CTCTCCAGCATCTGCTGTCTCCAGATTTTTTAGTGATCACCATTCTAACTGGCCTGAGATGGTATCTCAATGTAGTTTGGATTTGCATTTCTCTAATAATCAGTGATAATGAGCATTTTTTCATATGTTTGTTGGCCTAATATATGTCTTCTTTTGAAAAGTGTCTGTTCATATCCTTCTCCCACTTTTGGATGGGTTTGTTTTTTTCTTATAAATCTGTTTTAGTTCTTTGTAGATTCTGGATATTCCATAAGCCCTTTGTCAGATGGGTAGATTGCAAAAATTTTTTCCCATTCTGTTGGTTGCCAGTTCACTCTAATGATTGTTTCTTTTGCTGTGCAGAAGCTGTGGAGTTTGATTAGGTCCCATTTGTCTAATTTGGCTTTTGTTGCCAATGCTTTTGGTGTTTTAGTCACAAATTCCTTGCCTATGCCTATGTCCTGAATGGTTTTGCCTAGGTTTTCTTCTAGGGTTTTTATGGTATTCGGTCTTATGTTTAAGTCTTTAATCCATCTGGAGTTAATTTTATGTAAGGTGTCAGAAAGGGGTCCAGTTTCTGCTTTCTGCACATGGCTACCTAGTTTTCCCAACACCATTTATTAAACATGGAATCCTTTCCCCATTGCTTGTTTTTGTCAGGTTTGTCAAAGATCAGATGGTTGTAGACATAGCATTGCCTCCAGGGCCTCTGTTCTGTTTCATTGTTCTATATCTCTGTTTTGGTACCAGCACCAAACACCAAACAGCACCATGCTGTTTTGATTACTGTGGCTTTGTAGTGCATTTTGAAATCAGGTAGCTTGATGCCTCTGGCTTTGTTCTTTTTGCTTAGGATTGTCTTGGCTATGTGGGCTCTCTTTTGGTTCCATATGAAGTTTAAGGTGGTTTTTTCCAGTTCTGTGAAGAAGGTCATTGGTAGCTTGATGGGGATAGCATTGAATCTATAAATCACTTTGGGCAGTATGGCCATTTTCATGATATTGATTCTTCCTAACCATGAGCATGGAGGGTTTTTCCATTTATCTGTGTCCTCTCTTATTTCCTTGAACAGTGGTTTGTCCTTTCCTTGAAGAGGTCATTTACCTCCTTTGTGAGTTGTATTCCTAGGTATTTAATTCTCTTTATAACAATTGTGAATGGGAGTTCACTCGTGATTTGGCTCTCTGTTAGTCTGTTATTGGTGTATAGGAATGCTTGTGGTTTCTGCACATCGATTTTGTATCCTGAGACTTTTCTGAAGTTGCTTATCAGTTTAAGGAGATTTGGGGCTGAGATGATGGGTTCTTCTAAATACATAATTATGTCATCTGCAAATAGAGACAATTTGACTTCCTTTTTTTCTAATTGAATACACTTTATTTATTATTTACTATCATAAATTATGCTCATGTATTAAAGTTTAAACTTATCAGAACTTACACATACACGTACAGACCATGCATGGTAGCTTTTGCAGCTGAGAGAAATGTAAAGAAATGTAAAATACAATATTAAGTTATAACTGCATAAAATTATGTACATACTGTACTACTGTAATAATTTTGTATCCATCTCTCGTTACTATTGGGTCCGCTCCAGTGTTGGGAGTATCTGCTTAAAACACCCTGTGCTGCTAATCCTCTCCTTGTGAACAGTTTGTCTCTCTAGTAAATTATCACATTAAAAAATGATTTCTTGTGGTTTGCATGTATTTTTCATTGTGCAATATCATAAAACTTGAATAATATCACGGGACTCATACAAAGTGCCAGTACTCGAAGTGCTCCCAAGTAGCAGAGAAAAGTTGACATTACAAGAAAAGACCGAGTTGCTTGATATGCACCATCACTTGAGGTCAGCAGTTGCAGTTGTCTACCATTTCACGATTAATGAAACCAGTGTAAGGATCATTGTTTAAAAAAAAGAAGAAAAGAAAAAAGAAAAAGAAAACTCTTTTGTGAAGCCATCACTGCATTAAAAAGAAAAAAGTACATGAAACCTTGCACTTTTGTGAAATACTTTTTATCTTACACTGAAAACGCAGTTTTTCTGTGGGTGCAGGATTGCTATAAGGAAGGCATAACTTTGGCCGGGTGCAGTGGCTCACACCTGTAATCCCAGCACTTTGGGAGGCCGAGGCGGGCGGATCACCAGGTCAAGAGATCAAGACCATCCTGGCCAACATGGTGAAACCCCATCTCTACTAAAAATACAAAAAATTAGTTGGGTGTGGTGGCATGTGCCTGTAGTCCTAGCTAGTCGGGAGGCTGAGGCAGGAGAATTGCTTGAACCTGGGAGGTGGAGTTTGCGGTGAGCCGAGATCACACCACTGCACTCCAGCCTGGCGCCTGGCAACAGAGTAAGACTCTGCCTCAAAAAAAAAAAAAGGCATAACTTTATACTCAAATATGATTTTTAAAAAGTGAAGTAATTATATGAAAACTTAAAGAAAATGAATGGCAAAGGATCTAAAACCTGATAATTTAATGCCAGCAAAGGATGGTTTGATAATTTTAGAAAAAGGCCTGACTTTAAAACTGTCAAGGTATCAGGAGAAGCAGCTTCTGTCAATCAAGAGGCAGCAAAGTTCCCAAACACCATCAAGAAAATCACCAAGGAGAAAGGACATTTGCCTGAACAGATTTTTCATGCAGATGAAAGTGCCCTATTCTGGAGGAAAATACCACGAAAGAGATCTATGAGTTAAAAAGAGAAGTAAGCACCAGGATTTAAGGCAGAAAGAGATAAGATAACTTTATGTTGTTGACTGCCTTTATTCACAAAGCTGCTAACCCCTGGGCCTTGAGTTGAAAAGACAAAAGTGAGCTACTTGCCTTTTGGTTATACAACAAAAATGCATGAACAATAAGAATGCTTTTTCTTGGTTACTTCCATTAATGTTTTGTCCCTGAAGCAGGGAAGTGCCTTGCCAGTAAGAGACTTCCTTTTAAAATTCTTTTGATATTGGACAGTGTCTTTGGCCACCCAGAATTCCACAAGGTCAATTCCAAGGACATTAAAGTGGACTATTTGCCCCCAGACACAATGTCTCTAACTCAGTCTCCAGATCAGGGGGTCATAAGGATCTTTAAAAATTATTATATATGATACCTTACCGAAAGTATTGTTAATGGTAAAGAGAACCTCATTAGAGAGAGCAACATAAAAGTGTGGGAGGATTACACCACTGAAAATGCCATCATTGTCATAGAAAAAAATCCATGAAAGCCATCAAGTGTAATATAATACATTTCTGCTGGAGAAAACTGTGTTCAGATGTTGTACATGGCTTCACAGGATTTACAAGAGTCAATCAAGGAATTCATGAAAGAGATTGTTGATATGGCAAAAAGAAAAAAAGTGGTGGGTAACAAGTCTCAAGATACGGATTTTGGAGAAATTCTATAGCTAGTAGACACCACACCGTATCATCAAAAAAGTGAAAAAGGCAATCTGCAAATTAAGACAAAATATTTGCAACTCACACATCTAAGTTACTTGATTCCAAAACATATAAAGAACCTTCATAATTCAATAATAACAAGACAACCCAATTTAATGTACATCCTATGTCTGTAGATTTGCCAATTCTGGACATTTCACATAAACAATATATAACTTTTTGTGACTGACTTCTTTCATTTAGCATCATGAAGACATGATATTCTTGTAAAAAGTATTTAATTTTGATGAAGTTGAATTTATCTTCTTTAGTTGCTTGTGCTTTGGTGTCTGTAGCCCAATTTGGCAAGTATTGCCTTACTAGCAGTGTTAATTCTCTGCCACATAACATGAATGCATTTCCATTCATTTAGTCCTTTATAAATTTATCTCAACAGTATTTTACAGTCTTCACTGGACAGGTTTTGCACTTTTTAAATTTAATTCTGAGGGTTTTAAAAATCTTTTTAATGCAATTGCAAATAGAATTGTTTTCTTAATTTCATTTTCAGATTGTTTATAAAATTAACTTCTGCATATTGTTCTTGTATCCTCCAATCTTGCTGAACTTATTTATTAGTTCTAGTAGTGTTTTGTGGATTCCTTGGGATTTTCTATATACAAGATAATGTCATCTACAGATAGAAATAATTTAGGTTCTTCCTTTCCAGCCTGGATACTTTTCATTTCACTTTTGCCTAATTGCCCTGGCTGGAACTTTCAGAGCAATGTTGATTGAAAAGTGGTGACAGTGGATATTATTGTCTTGTTCCTGATCTTAGGTGGGAATAATGTAGTCTTTTACCATTAAGTATGATGTTAACTGTGGGTTTTTCATAGGTGATCTTTATTAGGTTGAGGAAGTTTCCTTTTATTCATAAATGTTCTTGTTATCTACTTAATCATCAAATGGGATTGGATTTTCTCAGATACTTGCTCTGCATTTATTAAGAATATCATGGGGGGGGTTGGTCCTTCATTTTATAATGTATACATTAATTGATTACACTGATAGAGTTTTGGATGTTAAAACAATTTTATATTCCTGAGATAAATTCCACTTGGGCACTTTTACATGTTGCAGGATTCTGCCTGGTAATATTTTGTAAGAAATGTTGCATCTGTATTTATGAAGAATATTGGTCTGTAGTATTATTTTCTTGTGATACCTATTTTGCTTTTGTAGCAGTGAAATACTTCCCCATAGAATGATTTGGTGTATAGAATGTTCCCTTCTCTTTTTGGTAGAATTTATGAAAAATTAGCATTATTTTTTCTTCAAATGTGTGTTAGAATCACTAATGAAGCCATTTGGGGCTGGGCTTCCCTTTGGGGGATAATTTTTAAACTAGTAAGTCAATCTTCTTATTTGTTATAGGGCCATTCAGATTTTCTATTTCTTCTTGAGTCAGTTTTGGTGTTTTGTGTCTTTCTAGAAATTTGTTCATTTTATCTAGGTTATCTAATTTGTTGGGGTACAATTGTACATAATATCCTTTACACTGTACATAATAATTATACATAATAATTCTTTACATTACTCTAAGGTTAGTAGTAATATCCCCTTTCATTTTTTTAGTGACAGAGCTTCACTCTGTTGTCCAGGCTGGAGTGCAGTGGTGCAATTATACCTTCCTGCAGCGTTGAATTCCTGGGCTCAAGCTATTCTCCCAGCTCAGCTTTTGTTATTCCTGATTTTGGTAAGTTGAGTTTTCTCTCTTTTTCCTTGGTCAAGCTAGTTAAAAGTTTGTTGACTTTTTAAATCTTTTCAAAGAACCAACTTTTTATTTCATTGATTCTCTCTGTTTTTCTATTATCTATTTCATTTATTTCTGCTTCAATATTTCCTTCCCTCTGCTTGCTTTTGGTTAAGTTGGCTCTTTCTTTTTAAATAAAGTAGAAGGTAAGGTTATTGATTTGAGATTATTCTTTTTTAAATGTAGATGTTTATAGCTTTAAATTTCCCTGTGAGCACTGCTTTTGCTGCATTACAAAAGTTTTCATTTAATGTGTTTAGCTACATGTATGTCACAGTATTTTCTAATTTTACTGTTATTTACTTTTTAATCCATTGATTATTTTGAAGCATGTTTAATTGTCACATATTAGTACATTTTCAAGTTTCCTTCTGTTACTGATTTCTAATTTTATTTTGTTATGGTTAGATAGCATACCTTGTATGATTCCTTGAAAATTTATTGAGGTTTGCTTTATGTTTATTGCTTATTCTGGAAAATGTTCCATGTGTGCTTCAGAAGAATGTATATTCTGCTGTTGTTTCTTTTTTTTTATATATATCTCTTAGATCTATTTGGTTTATAGTTTGTTCAAGTCTTCTGTTTTCTTATTGAGCTTCTGTCTGTTGTTGCATCCATTACTGAAGAGGGGTTATTGAAGTCTCTGTTATTGTTGAATTGTCTATTTCTCCATTTTATTCCGTCAGTTTTTCTTTCATATATTTTTGGGGTCTGTTGTTAGGTGCACATATGTTTATAATTGTTATGCCTACCAGATATATTGAAAATTTATCATTATAAAATTTCCTGGTTTGTTTCTAGTAAAAATTTGTTTTAAAATGGATTTTGTCTGATATTAATACAAATATTTCTGCATTGTTTTGGCCATTATTTGCATGGTGTATCTTTTTCTGTCTTTTTACTTCTAACCTATTTGTGTTTTGAATCCACCTTGAAACCTTATAGCCAACTGACTGATGAATCACATTTCTTTAAAATCTATTTTTCAAAACCTCTGACTTTTAATTGGAGAGCTTAATCCATTTACCTTTAGTATAATTGTTAAAATAGTATTTATGGTTGTTATTTTGCTATTTGTTTTCTATATGCCTTATGACTTTTTGTTCCTCTGTTCTTCTATTACTGCCTTCTTTTGTTTTAAAATGGTATTTTCTAATATATAATTATAATCCCATTTTTAACCATATTTTTTGAGTTATTTTCTTAGTGGTTCCACTGAGAATTGTAATTAGCATCTGAAAGCAATCTAGTTTGGATTAATATTAACTTAATTTTATTAATATCTAGAAACTTGGTATCAATAGTGATTGATTCCATCTCTACTCTTTTGTGTTTTTATTACAAATCAAATCTTGATATGTTATAAGCCCACCCATACAATTTTATAATTGCTTTGTGAAACTATCTTTAAATCAGATAGCAGGAGAAAAGATTACAAAAAGTACATTTATACTGTGGTTTACATTTGTCTATGTAATTACCTTTACTGGTACTCGTTATTTCTGTATGTGAATTAGAGTTACCATCTAATATCCTTTCATTTCAGCCTGAAGGACTTTCTTTGTTATCTCTGGTAAAGCAGATTTACTACTGATAAATTTTCTCTATTTTAGGTTTTCTCAAAACTTTTCCATTTTTCAAGGATAATTTTGCTGTATGCAGAATTCTTGGATAACAGACATCGTCCTCCCCTCACCCTCAGTACTTTAATGTCATTCCACTGTCTTCTGGCCTCCATGGTTTCTGTTGAGAAGTCAGCTACTAATCTTATTAAGGATTTCTTTTATGTAGTGAGTTGTTTTTCTCTTGCTATTTTCAATATTCTGTATTTGACCTTGTCTTCCAACAGTTTGATTATAATATTCCTTAAGATTCTGTTACTTGGTGTTTGTTCAGCTTCTTGAATGTGTTAATTAAAGATTTCTCTTTCTTTTCTCCTTCTGAAGTTCCCATTATACATATATTAATGTGCTTGATGGTGTCTCGCAAGTCTCTGAGGCTCTGTTCATTTTCTTCCATCTTTTTCTCACTATTCTTCAGACTAGATGATCTTTGTTGAATGATCTTTAAGTTTGTTGATTCTTCTGCCCACTCAAGTCTGCCATTGAAATCTGATAGTAATTTTTCATTTGAATAATTGTATTTTGGCTCTTTTCAAAATTTCTATTCACTTGTTGATATTCTTTACCTAGTGAGTCACTGCTGTCACACTTTATTTGATTGTTTGGCTATAGTTCCTTTAGTTCTTTGAACATATTTATAATATTGATTTAACATCTTTGGTAAGTCCAACATCTAGGTCCCCTTCAGGGATAATTTTCATTAACTGATTTTTTATATATATGTAAGTACCTTCTTATTTCTCTGTGTGTTTCATGATTTTCATTGAAAATTGGGTACTTTAGATAATATTATGTGGTAATTTTGGGCATCTCTTTCTTTCCTGAGGGTTTGCTGTTGTTCATGCTTTCGTTGCTATTGTCTGTATTCTTTGTGGTTTGTGAAGCTTCTGCCCAATTAGTTGAGTGATCATATGATGTTTGGTCAGAGTTTTTTTGTTTTTGTTTTTTTTTAATGCCTTGAGCCAACATGTCTTCTAGTTTTTGCTGAGGGACTCTGTGTGTACAAAATCATGTCTTTCAACACTCAGACAGTTTATATCTCTACCTTAGACTTTATTTTCTACGAGTTCAGGGCCTCAAGGTCAGCCAGAGAGGAGGGATTTTAGGGTATTCTCAGGTCTTTCCTTCACATGCATATAGCATTGCATGGCACACATCCTTCTTGGTCCCCAGGAATATGTTAGAGATTTTCAAGGTCCTTTTTGGCATATTGCTCCCTAGATCTTCCTTTTAATTATTGGGCAGGTTCTTGTTTACCTCAACTGGTATTACAGCTTTGGGAAGCTGTGATACTAAATAATCAACATTGATTTTTTTAAAAACTTTTTTATCAAAAATTTTTTAACTGACAAATAGTAATTGTACATATTCATAGGGTACATAGCAATGCTTTCATACATATAATGAATATTCAAATCAGGATACTTAGCCTATTCGTCTCAAGTATTTATCCTTTCTTTGGGATCATTGAGTGTCATCCTTCTAGCTATTTGAAACTATATAATGTATTATTGTTACTATTGCCATAACCCTTCTGGAGATAGGGCTTTTCCTACAGGGTGAGCTTGGAGTTAAGTCATGACAGCATGTTGCAAATGTGGTTTCTCCAGGGAGCTATGAGGTAGACCACATAGTGACCATGCTTATGGTGGGGGTTTTTGAGAAGCTCCAAACACAGCGTGTTGACTAAATGGCTGCTGATTTTCAAGGCTACTGCAGAGCTGGAAAGACAGGAGTGGGAGTAGGTCAAGTTAAAGTGCTATGAATCCTGCTCTTCTTACTGAGATGAGCAGTTTTCATCAAATGAATGGTCTTCACATTGTTGCAAGGCTTTAGTTAATCTTAGAATTCTGAAAACTTTGATTTAAACATGTTGCCACTGTTTTAATTGCTTTTTGGAAGAGCAGATTTATGGAGGCCTTTCTTTTAGCAATTTGGATGTCCAATCCTGTTTAATTTTTTGATATTGTGAATAGTGTGATTACATTTTCTAAGAGTTCATATAATAAAAATGAGAACAACTGCAATACAAATGCCAGTATAACCTAGACATCACTGGGAAAACAAAGGGCTCACTGACTGTGTAATTTTAATGAAAGATGTAAGGATTAAGGAGATAGTATAGCATACTATGTGATATGTGAAAAAATGTTGAATTGGGCCTTATGGGGAAGGAGACATGATGAAAACACAGAAGGACGTTGAATCTCCCAAGTCCAGAAAGAGACAGAAAAGTACTTCTAAATCAATCAAGTAGTTTTTCATCTCCAAACAATACAATAAAGCTTAGCTGAAAGTAGCACTTGCCGAATTAACTCGAGATAACCACACAAGCGTGCATTATCATGTAATTCCCTTGTTACCTGAAATTGAGTGAAATTGCCTTTCTTGATTAAAATAGCTATTAAGCACAATTATGATGTCCTATGAGTGAACTAAAGGGAAAATTTTGGTAATAGATGTTGGTGTTGACCCATTACAGTGCAGCACAGATTTTTTTTCAGCTTTTACCAATGGTCATACTTTCTACCATGTATCAAGCAATGCATCTTATCCTGAAAATTAGCAACAACTTGTAGGAATTAGTTTCCAGCTTTCCACAAATGTCCATCCATTTGGTAAATACAGGCTTATTTTGGAGAGCCAGAAACTAGTTCCTATCAATCTAAAAACCTGCTGTTGCTAATAAGTAAAATATTTTTGTTGAGTATTCCATGTCAAACACTTTGAAACTTGAGGGTAAATTTAGCTCGATGTCATCACATTGAACCGACACCAGAATCCTTAAAGCATGCATTTGATAAGAGCAGAACTACAAGTCAAAGTAACTTTTATGTTTGACTATATTCAGTTTACCCCTACATAAAAGAAAAGAAAAATATCCTAAAGGTTACAGGGAGTTCAGAAAAGTATTGTTGGCAAAGAAAAATCAAGGGTAAAAATACCCTACTGTATCATGGAACAAAAAGAAAAATTTCATTGTTATTTTTTATTAAATGTAGGCAATGTCTCTTTAAGATCTACAATTGTATTATCTATTTATTTTCAGAAATCCTACATTTATGTATGTTAAGAAAACACAATATAGCCTATACAATTTGAATATTTATGTAAAAGCTTTTTTTAAACAAGAGTTTAAATAAATTGCTCCGTCAGAATACAGAAAAAAATCATAAAAATGTTATATTTTATTACATACTTATTTTATGGGTCCTATGATTATTTGCTAAATGCCACTGTTAGTCATATTGTTTTGTTTAAATAATAGCCTTTTGCTATAGAAAAGTCAATAACACAGAATAATATATTTATTGGTATTTTATATTAAAATAATGAAACATGTATGTGATTATTACATACATTATTATTTGATTTCACATGCCGTGTTCTGAGTCGGTTCCCTACAAAGTAGATGCTATCCACAAACTACACAAAATCCTGGTCATTTTAGGGGCTCCAGTGCCCCAGCCTTGTTAGTGAAACAGAGGCAGGACCCCTGCCAATATGGGCCAAGAGCTTGAAGTATCCATCCAGAGGCTGGGACAGCAGCAGAAGTTGGTGGGCAACTCTCGTGCCCAGGGAGAGACTGCAGGGCTATTAACAACTGCAGGAAACTAGCCCATGTCATACTCCCTGTGAGTCTCAGAAATAGTGTGGTGGGTAGGAGGTCTTTGGAGAGGAAAGTAAGGTCTTCCATGAATATGTGTGGTCAAGTGCTGATAAATTTTAGTTGTAAGTGTTAATGTAACTGTATTAGTTGGCTTGAGCTGCAATAACAAAATGTTGCAGGCTGGAAGGCTTAAACAACAGAAATTCATTTTCTCACAATTCTGGAAGCTGGAAGTTCAAGAACAAGGTGCCAGAAGGGTTAGTTTCTCCTGAGGCTTCTCTCCTTGGCTTGCAAATGGCCACCTCCTCACTCTGTCCTCACATGGTTTTTCCTCTGTACACATGAGAGGAGAGCACTGGTGTCTCTTCCTCTTCTTATAAAGCCACAGTCCTACTGGGTTAGAGGCCTCCCCTTATGACTTCATTTACCTGAATTGCCTCCTTAAAGGCCTTGTCTTCAAATATGGTCACATTGAGTTTTGAGGCTTCCACATATGAATTTGGGGTAACACAATTCAGTCTGTAACAATGGCCCTCACTGGCACCCATAGGCAGGCAGAACCCATAGAGCAGGAAATAGAAATGAGATCAAAGAAGAAAGGAGATCAACTGAAGAAATATCAGTGGTTCACTCTCCTGTTTAGTTACACAGACTGTATCTGAGTCTTTGAAAGATTATGCAAACCATTAGTTACGATAGAGAGGATTTGAATAATAAATCAATAAATTTATTTAATAAGTATCCAAGGAGCTTAGTGTTCTCTAAATAGAGAATATATATTCTTTTCTATTGCATATAAAATACACACACACAGACACACACACACAGACACACACACACACACACACACACACACTCTATTCCCCACTCTGTTTATAATGGCACAAGCAATAAAGTAATAACAAAAACCTCTAAATACATGGAAATTTAAAAAATGCTCTTCTTAAAAACTCTTGGGTCAAAGAGAAAATTCAAACTATTATGAGAATAATAGGAATAATTAATAACATAGCAACATTTGTGGAATGGGCCCCAAAGCATTACCAGATGGGAAATCAGTAGCCCTAAATGCTGCCATTAATAAACAGACAGAATGAAAATAAATGAGCTCCCAATTCCATTCAATAAGCTCTAAAAAGAACATCAAATAAAAAAATTAATGATGATAAAATGCAGAAATTAATTAATTGGAAAGCAGAAAAACAGAACTGATAAATACCTTTAAAAGCTGGTTCTCTGAAAAAGACAAACAATATAATAGAAAATATTCTGACCAGTTTAACAAAAACAAAAGATAGAAAGCACAAATCAATGAAATTATGAATGAATAAGTAATGCGACAAAAATGGATTATAACAATTTGATTCTAAAACTTGTTAGAAAGGCCGTGGCCCCAAATCTGCATGGAGATCTTGTTTGTTCTGTAAATTGCAGAATTCATTTCCAGCATGTGACTATATCACAGTATACTTATCTGTTCTGTCAGTGAATATTTAGATTCCTTTTTTCTGCAACAAATACTACTACAATAAACATGGTTGTACGTGTACCTTGTGCATATGTGAAGAGTTCTGCAAGTGCACTGATTGTCAAAGTGGGGTTTCTGGGCCAGTAGCATCAGCATCATCTGGGAACTGGTTAGCAATGCAGATTCACAGGCCCCATCTCAGACCTACTGAATCAGAAACTCTAGGGTTAGGTCCCAGGGCTCTGTGCTTAAACAAGCCCTTCACATGATTCTGATGCTTGCTCTAGTTTGCAAAGCATGGCTTTAGGGTGTATACCTAGAAGTAGAATTGCTGATTGAAGGGTAAGGTGCAACTCTGTTTTTATAGGACATTGCCAATAGCCTTCCTAAAGGCTATGCCAATTTATACTTTGATTAGCAATTAATAAGATTTTCAGTAAGCTGTAGTCTTGCAAACACTTGGTATTATAAAACTTAAAATGTCTAAGTGACAGGTGCAAAATTGTGCTTCATTGTTTTTGTTTCTATTTCTTCGATAACTGGCGAAGTTAAGCACCTTATCTGAGGATTTTTGATCCTTTGGTTTTCTCCTACATTAATTGCCTGCTCATATCTTTTGCCCATTTTTCTGTTGAGTTGATGATCTCTTTCTAAATGACATGCAGAAGTTCTTTATTTATGTCAGGCACGCATATTGCAAATATCTTTTCCCACTCTCTGGTTTGTCTTTTTACTTTAATTAGGCATATTATAATTAAACAGAAGTTTTACTTTCTATACGATAATAAAATTCATCACTTTTTCCTAATTTGTGTCTTTGGGAGGTCTTGGTCAAGAAATCCTGTCTGACTTCAGTGCCATAAAGATAACTTCTTCACGTCTCTCATAAGACAGAGAGAGCCTAAGAAGTAGTGCAGTAAGTATACACTTAATGAATATGCTGAAGTTCCAGAGCCATTGCCCACTGGCCTTCTTGAGCACTTCACCATGAAACAAGAAAAATTATCTTCTTTTTGTAACCGTATATTTCCATCCCTCTCCTCTGTCCCCACCTTGCTTCTGTTACCTTGTCTTTCCTCATCTAGGCAGAGACTGAATCCCAGACACTGACTGCACATGAAGCATTGATGGTTAGTGATGATGGTGGTGATGAAGTTTATAAGGGAAATGGTGGCCAATTCTGAGAGGTGTAACCACCAGAGAAACACCACTGGCTGTACAGAGAACAGAAAATAAAACTGATGAAAATCTGCCTACAGGGTTATTGTTTTTCATGTTATACATTATTTAGAACACAGATAATCAGGCAGGTAGCATGTTTCACAAAAGCCTCCCTAAAACTGGAAAATGAACTGGCTGTTGCTGATATGAACATGTCAGAGATTTGAAAAACATTTGGGAGAAACCAAGGAAATCAATTCACCCCCATATTGATGTGTCTAATCCGTTCGAGGATAAAAAGAATACTAATGTGGGCTTTTCAGAAAATACTGAAGGAAAAGGAAATGGAATTGCATCTAGAAGATTCAAGGGAAGAGCACCCCTCTGAAAATGATCTGTTATAGGACCCAGAGGGGAAAAAAAACCTGAGAAATTAGTTAGCATTTGTTGTCAATGGTGGAGTCAGGTGAGAGGTGACTGGATCATGGAGGCAGATCCCTCATGAATGCTCTAGCAGCATCCCCTTCATGAGAAGTGTGTTCTTGCTCCGTTAGTTCATGTGAGATCTGCTTATTTAAAAGAGTCTGGGACCTCCTCCTTTTCTCTTTTGATCTGGCCTCTCTGTGTGACATGCCTGCTCCCATGTCACCTTCCACCATGATTGTAAGCTTCCTGACACTCTTACCAGAGGCCAAGCAAATATTGGTGCCATGCTTTTACAGCCGATTAAACCTCTTCTCCTTATAAATTACTCAGCCTCAGGTATTTCTTTATAGCAATGTAAGAATGGACTAACACAGAGTCTCCAGGAATCAATAGTATAAAGTCATAGAGAGCAGGCTAACGTGATAAGGCACCAAAAAGAGAAGAAAAGAAAGTAAAATGAAAGAAACGAATGAGAAGGAAGTATTGCACAGAAACTAAAATCTCAGCAACAAAACCAACATCTCCACTGAAATAGAAAGTTATGTTATATATTGTTTTGTATTGTTATATACTTCTTTATATTGTTGGTATAGAGAAGTTATATCAAGGGAAATATAAACAGTAACATAGAAGTTAAAGATACTCTCCCAGAATATAAAGAAATGTACTAAAAAATGACACTGAAAGAAAAAAGATTCATATAGAATAATGAATACAAAGAAAATTGGTTTTCTTGAAGAAGACATAAGAAATAATGAAACAAAACAATATTAGTTTACCCATTTATTCAACGTGTATTTATCGAGCGATCTACCATGTGCGTGCACTGTGCTAGGTGATGCATAGGCTGCAATGTGTATTAAATGAGCTCACCTCCTTCAATTACAGAAGCAAACACACACATAAATATGTACTTGTGGATTTTGGAAAGCATTATGTAAGAAAACAGAACAATAATTAACAATATAACAGAATAGAACTTTAATGAGTTGAAGAAAGATCTCTGCATGGAACTTGAAAGTATGCTTTCCCAGTCAGGCAAAGCCAATAAAACCAGAACGATACCAGCTAGATAAAGACAGCATCTAAATTGCCATTTTTAAATTATAAGATAAAAAATATTTAAAAGCGGTCATGCAGAACAATAACAACAAAAATACCCTAACGGGACTCATCTCTTCAATGCTAAATGTCAGAAACTTCTGGATCATCTTATCTAAAGACTTTGGAAAAAAGTGATCATGAACTTTGTACCCAATAAAGTGTCTTCCATGTGCAAAGGCACATGAGTTTATCAGATAAACTCTTCAGAATATCTCTAACCCATGAATTCTTCTTTAGAAACCATTAGTTCAACCAAACAAGAGGAGATGACAAAGTAAGAGCTCAAGTATGAAACTAGTTTGAAATGAGATAAAACTAAATTATTGATGCACACAAATGAGAAAACTGAGCCTTTGAGGAACTAAAAGGCCATCAGTACGGGTGGAGGGAGGGGGAAATCATGGCAGGGAGGACCTAGGCTGCACAGGTGTACTTGGGCCAGATCCTACAGATCTGGCAAGCCATGCACGTTTCTTTTTTAAACGTGTTTCTCTTTGAAAGAAATATGTCTAACAACTTCTAAAATGTATTACTCAGATAATTAAAAACAGGTCTCCACCTCAAATTATACAAAGCTTTCCCAGTTCTATAAAATAAGGGTGAATACTCCAATAGAAATTATTTTTTAATGAAAAGACTGGACCGAAATGGAAGATGAAAATGTAATTAAAAATGCAAAATTTAGAAGAGAGCTTTGGCAGCTAGGATCCAAGATGGCTAAATAGGAACAGCACTGGAGTGCAGTTCCCAGCAAGAACAATGCAGAGGGTGAGTGAACACTGCATTTCCAAATGAGTTATTACTGCCCACAGACCAGGAGACTCCTGGGCTGAAAAGTGCTACGAATTTCCAGCATGGCTGTTTCAGCAGGTGCAGTGGGTCTGCACAAAAACACAAATCTGGGCGGCTGTTTCAGCTGGCTCCTGGAATACCTGGGAGACAGAAGCACCCATTCAACTGAAAAAAAGGGGGCTGAAACAGAGAGCCAGGTGATCTGGCTCAGCAGGTCCCACCCCCACTAAGACCAGCAATCTGAAATGCTCTAGACTGAGAGTTTCACAGCAAATGCAGCTGGACTTGGGACAGTCCAGCTCTGTTGGGGGAAGGGTATCCGCCACTACCGAGGCAGTCTGTCATTACTGAGGCACTCCACCATTGCAGAGGTAGTCTACCATTACTGAGGCAGACCACCATTACCGGGGCTGTTCTAACTATACCTCTATAAACAAAACTGCAAGGAAGTTCACACAGCAGCTGGGCAGAGCCCATGGCAGCTCAGCAACACCTCTGCTGGCAGACTGTGACTAGGCTACCTCCTTGCTGAGCAGACCAGCTCTGAAAAAAAAGGCAGCAGCATGTCAGGAACTTGTAAATAAATCCCCACCTTCCCAGGACAGAGCATCTGGGGGAAAAGGCAGTTATGAGTTCCACTGCAGCAGATTTAAACATACCTGCCCAGCAGCTCTGAACAGAACAATGGAGCTCGCAGCTCAGCACTTGAGCTCCTAGAAGGGACAGACTGTCTCCTCAAGTAGCTCCCTGACCCCCCCGTAGATCCAAAGAGTCACCTCATAATGGAGAGCTCGGGCTGACATCTGGTGGGTATCCTTCTCAGACGAAGATGACAGAAGAAGAAACTGGCAGCAACTCTTACTGTTCTGCAGCCACCGCAGGTGATCCCCAGGCAAGCAGGGTCTGGAGTTGACCTCCAGCAGTCCTACAGCAGAGGATCCTGACTGTTAGAAGGAAAACTAAAAAACAGAAAGAAATAACTTCATCTTCAACAAAAAGGATGTCTGCTCAGAGACCCCATCAAAAAGTCACCAACTGCAAAGACCACAGGTAGATAAATCCACAAAGATGGGAAGAAACTAGCACAAAAAGGATGAAGACACCCAAAACCAGAACGCCTCTCCTGCTCCAAGGGATCACAACTCATAACCAGCACAGGAAGAAAGCTGGATGGAGAATGAGTCTGATGAATTGACAGAAATAGGCTTCAGAAGGCAACTAATAATGAACTTCTCTGAGCTAAAAGAACATGTTCTAACCCAATGCAAAGAAACTAAGAACATTGAAAAAAGGTTTGACGAAATGCTAACGAGAATAAACAGCTTAGAGAAGAATATAAATGACTTGATAGAGCTGAAAAACACAACACGAGAACTTCATGAAGCATACACAAGTTTCAATAGCCAAATTGACCAAGCAGAAGAAAGAGTATCAGAGATTGAAGATCAACTCAATGAAATAAAACAAGAAGGCAAGATTAGAGAAAAAAGAGTGAAAAGAAATGAACAAAGCCTTCAAGAAATATGGGATTATGTGAAAAGACCTAATCTACGTTTGATAGGTGTACCTGAATGTGACAGAGAGAATGAATCCAAAGCTGGAAAACACTCTTCAGGGTATTAGCCAGGAGAACTTCCCCAACCAGGCAAGGCAGGCCAATATTCAAGTCCAGGAAATACAGAGAACACCACAAAGATATTCCTCAAGAAGAGCAAGCCCAAGGCACATAATTGTCAGATTCACCAGGGTTGAAATGAAGGAAAACATGCTAAGGGCAGCCAGAGAGAAAGGTCAGGTTACTCACAAAGGGAAGCCCATCAGACTAACAGTGGATCTCTTAGCAGAAATCCTACAAGCCAGAAGAGAGTGGGGGCCAATATTTAACATCCTTAAAGAAAAGAATTTTCAACTTAGAATTTCATATCCAGCCAAACTAAACTTTGTAAGCGAAGGAGAAATAAAATCCTTTATGAACAAGCAATTGCTGAGAGATTTTTGTCACCACTAGGCCTGCCTTACAAGAACTCCTGAAAGAAGCACTAAACATAGAAGGGAACAACCAGTACCAGCCACTCCAAAAACATACCAAATGGTAAAAAGCATTGTCAAAATGAAAAAACTGCATCAACTAATGGGCAAAACAACCAGCTAGCATCAAAGTGGCAGGATCAAATTCACACATAATAATATTAACCTTAAATGTAAATGGGCCAAATGCCTCAGTCAAAAGACACAGACTAGCAAATTGGATAAAAAGTCAAAACCCATCTCACATGCCAGGACACACATAGGCTCAAAATAAAGGGATGGAGGAAGATTTACCAAACAAACGGAGAGCAAAAAAAAGCAGGAATTGCAATCTTAGTCTCTGATAAAATAGACTCTAAAGCAACAAAGATCAAAAGAGACAAAAAAGGGCATTACATAATGATAAAAGGATCAATGCAGTAAGAAGAGCTAACTGTCCTAAATATATACACCCCCAATACAGGAGCACCCGGATACATAAAGCAATTTCTTAATGACCTACAAAGAGACTTAGACTCCCACACAATAATAGAGGGAGACTTTAGCACTCCACTAGACAGAGCAACAAGACAGAAAATTAACAAGGATATCCAGGACTTGAACTTGGATCTGGACCAAGCAAACCTAATAGACATCTACAGAACTTTCCACCCCAAATCTCAGCACCACATCACACATACTCTAAAACTGACCACATAAGCAGAACCAAAGACAAAAACCACATGATTATCTCAATAGATGCAGAGAAGGCCTTTGACAAAATTCAACAGCGCTTTATGCTAAAAACTCTCAATAAACTAGGTATTGATGGAACATATCTCAAAATAATAAAAGCTATTAATGACAAACCCACAGACAGTATCATACTGAATGGACACAAACTGAAAGCATTCTCTTTGAAATCTGGCACTGGACAGGGATGCCCTCTCTTACCACTCCTATTCAGTAGAGTATTGGAAGTTCTAGCCAGAGCAATCAGGCAAGAAAAAGAAATGAAGGAAATTCAATTAGGAAAGGAGGAAGCCAAATTTCTCTATTTGTAGACGACATGATTGTATTGTATCCCATCGTCTCAGCCCAAAATCTCCTCAAACTGATAAGCAATTTCAGCAAAGTCTCAGGATACAAAATCAATGTGCAGAAATCACAGGCATTTCTGTACACCAATAACAGACTTAAAGAGAGCCAAATAATGAGCAAACTCCCATTCACAATTGCTACAAAGAGAATAAAATACCTAGGAATGCAACTAACAAAGGATATAAAGGACCTTTTCAAGGAGAACTACAAACCACTGCTCAAGGAAATAAGAGAGGACACAAACAGATGGAGAAACATTCTATGCTCATGGTTAGGAAGAACCAATATTGTGAAAATGGCCATACTGCCCAAAGTAATTTATGGATTCAATGCTATCCCCATCAAGCTACCTATGATCCTCTTCACAGAACTGGGAAAAACCACCTTAAACTTCATATGGAACCAAAAGAGAGCCCGCATAGCCAAGTCAATTCTAAGGAAAAGGAACAAAGCTGGAGGCATCATGCTACCTGACTTCAAACTATACTACAAAGCTCCATTTATCAAAACAGCATGGTACTGGTACCAAAACAGAGATATAGACCAATGTAACAGAATGGAGGCCTCGGAGGCAATGCCACACATCTGCAACCATCTGATCCTTGACAAACCTGACAAAAACAAGCAATAGGGAAAGGATTCCATGTTTAATAAATGGTGTTGGGAAAACTGGCTAGCAGTGTGCAGAAAGCAGAAACTGGACCCCTTTCTGACACCTTACATAGAATTAACTCCAGATGGATTAAAGACTTAAACATAAGACCTAATACCATAAAAACCCTAGAAGAAAACCTAGGCAAAACCATTCAGGACATAGGCATAGGCAAGGAATTTGTGACTAAAACACCAAAAGCATTAGCAACAAAAGCCAAAATAGACAAATGGGACCTAATCAAACTCCACAGCTTCTGCACAGCAAAAGAAGCAATCATTAGAGTGAACTGGCAACCAACAGAATGGGAAAAAATTTTTGCAATCTACCCATCTGACAAAGGACTAATATCCAGAATCTACAAAAAACTAAAACAGATTTACAAGAAAAAAAGCAAACCCATTCAAAAGTAGGTAAAGGATATGAACAGACACTTTTCAAAAGAAGACATATATGAGGCTAATAAACATATGAAAAATTACTCATCATCACTGGTCATTAGAGAGATGCAAATCAAAACCACAATGGGATACCATCTCACGCCAGTTAGAATGGCGATCATTAAAAAATCTGGAGACAGCAGATGCTGGAGAGGATGTGGAGAAATAGGAACACTTTTACACTGTTGATGGGAGTGTAAATTAGTTCAACCATTGTGGAAGACAGTGTGGTGATTCCTTAAGGACCTAGAAATAGAAATTCCATTTGACCCAGCAATCTCATTACTGGGTATATATCCAAAAGATTATAATTCATTTTATTATAAAGACACATGACATGTATGTTCATTACAGCACTGTTTATAATAGCAAAGACCTGGA